ACATAAAGTAACCGCAGTTCCTCTTCTGATGACATAGAGCTACCGTAGTGGCTCCTCTGATGACACAAAGTAACCGCAGTGCCTCTACTGATGACACAAGTCACTACAGTGCCTCTTTTGATGACATAAAGTAACTGCAGCGCCTCTACTGATGACACAGAGTAACCGTAGAGCCTCTACTGATGACAAAGAGTAACCGCAGTGCCTATCCTTATGCCATAAAGTAGCCGTAGTGCCTCTTCTGATGACAGAGTAACCGCAGTGCTTCTACTGATGACATAGAGTAACCGCAGTGCCTATCCTTATGCCATAAAGTAGCTGTAGTTCCTCTTCTGATAACAGATTTACCGCAGTGCCTCTTCTTATGACAGAGTAACCAGATTGCCTCTTCTGATGACAGAGTAATCGCAGTGCCTCTTCTGATGACAGAGTAACCACATTGCCTCTTCTGATGACAGAGTAACCGCAGTGCCTCTTCTGATGACATAAAGTAATCACAGTGCCTCTTCTGATGACAGAGTAACCAGATTGCCTCTTCTGATGACATAAAGTAACCGCAGTGCCTCTTCTGGTGACAGAGGAACCAGATTGCCTCTTCTGAAGACATAAAGTAACTGCAGTGGCTCTTCTGATGACCGAGTAACCACAGTGACTTTTCTCATGACATAATGTACCAGTACTTCAATCCCCTTTGAAGTATTGCCATTTCACTCAAAGTTATTTATTCACTCTAGCAAATTAAAATTCATTTATTAATTAGAATAGAAATTCAAAATGTATCAATTAAATCAATTTTCTTTAAAAATCCTATAACTAACTGAGGATAAACTTTGTTAAAAAGATCCGTTAACGTTTTTACACTTGTATTTATCCCTTGTGGTGGACAAATCAATAAAGTCAAGCAGGACATGCTTGACCGTGATCCAGGACAGTAACACAGCTTGTAGTATGTATTAGTCTTCGCCGTATTCAAGTACAGTAACACAGCTTATAGTATGTTCAAACCTTCGAGATGATATAGCGGGAACCACTCGAGAGCAATAAAGCATTATGAAATGCAACATCTCTTCACTATTTTCTAGTTCAGTTGATATCTTCAGATAATATCTTCACAATATATTTGTATAACATGCACTATATTCACGATATCCTTGTATTATGAGAATATATTTGTATAATAAGTATCATGTAAGGGCACAGATCTTCTCGATATCCTTGTATAGATAAATTATTATGTAAGGTCACAGATCTTCACGATATCATTGTATAATAAGTACGATGTAATGTGACAGATCTTCACGATATCCTTGTATAATAAGGTACTCTGTAAGGTCACATATCTCCCCGATATCCTTGAAAAATGAAGTGCTATGTAAGGTCACAGATTTTACGATATCCTTGAATTATAAGTACGATGTAAGGTCACAGACCTTCACGATATCCTTGTATAATAAGTACGATGTAATGTGACAGATCTTCACGATATCCTTGTATAATAAGGTACTCTGTAAGGTCACATATCTCCCCGATATCCTTGAAAAATGAAGTGCTATGTAAGGTCACAGATTTTACGATATCCTTGAATTATAAGTACGATGTAAGGTCACAGACCTTCACGATATTCTTGTATAATAAGCACCATGTAAGATCACAGATCATCGCGATATCCTTGTAGAATAAGTACTATGTAAGGGCACAGATCTTGACTATATCCTTGTATAATAAAGTACAATGTAACGTCACAGATCTTCACGATATCCTTGTACAATAAATACGATGTAAGGGCACAGATCATCCCGATATCCTTGTAGAATAAGTACTATGTAAGGGAACAGGCCAGTACAATCTCCTTGTATGAAATTGCAGCATGTAGTTTCAGAGATTAACCCACACTCCACTGAATGAGTGAATGAGGGAATGAGTGAATATGTTTTTACGCCGCTATTTACTCCAATATTCCAGCAATATCACGGCGGGTGACACCAGAAATGGGCTGCGCACATAGTACCCATGTGGAGAATCGAACCCAGGTCGATGACGTGACGAGAAACGCTTTAACCTATGGGCTACCATCCCAAATCACATCCCACCCCACCCCCACCCCTACCCCTCCCCACTGAATAGCAAATGTTTGACAGAGTACACTGATGTTTACTTTATGTAGGTAGCGTCGTAGCTGTCAAATGCCTTGGCATTATCCTGATGACCTTCAAAAAGACTTCACCGTGGTCAAGGTCGCAATTACAGTATTCCAGCAATATCATGGCGGGGGACACCAGAAATTGGCTGCATACATTGTACCATGTGGAGAATCGAACCCAGGTCGCCGACGTGACGAGCGAATGCTTTAACCTCTAGGCTACCATCCCACAACACATCCCCAACCCACCCACCCCCCCCCACCCACCTCCTACTGAATAGCAAATGTTTGACACAGTATACTAATGTTTACTTTATGTAGGTGGCGTCGTAGCAGTCATATGCCTTGGTATTATCCTGATGACCTTCACAAAGACTTCACCGTGGTCAAGGTCGCAATTACAGAATGACCTGGGTCCTGAATTAGAGGCACAGCGAAAGCAGGCATTCAAACAGATTTCGACACCTACATCAACGACATTCAAACAGATTCCGACAGCTACATCAACGATAACGACAACAACACTAAAACAATGCCGCGATGATTTTAAAGAAATATTTGAGAAAGAGAAACGGTATATATGTTTTGACATACCGGGCAGATTGGGGAATTTCATGTTTGCATACGCCTCGGTGTATGGAATGGCGACAAAGGTCAACAAGTCAGTGGTGACCAAAACGAACAACTTTCTGAAGTACTTCCGGATAAAAGCCAAGGTTGTCAATGACTTTTGTGTTTGTGAAACAGCCAAATTTGTCTACGAGGACAAACATTGTCAGTTTAGCAAAGATTTACTGAACTTGACCGAGAAAATAAATTATCGGCCTTTCCGGTATTTGCAGTCGTGGATGTACTTCCGGCATGTCGCAGACGACATCCGCCAACAGTTCAGGTTCAAGGACGAACTGCGTGAGAAAGCCGTCAGTATCATAAAGGTAAGTAAACAAATGGTCATCTTTCCCGACAACTTATACTGCATGATGTAACAACCTCTGGAATACAACACACTCCCTAATAGAAACAAGGTGTCAAGGACGATGACCTGATGATGAGTCTAACCAGCCTGATTGCAATAATCTGTTTTAAATCTGTATTAATAATTATAACAAAATAAAGTAATAGAATGACAAATTTATACACCCGTGAAGATCCGGGTTAGAATTGGTCTTCAGCAAACCACGCTTGTCGCAAAAGGCAAGTAACGGGATCGGGTGATCAGGCTCGCTGACTTGGTTGACACATGTCATAGTATCCCAGTTACGTATATCGATCCTCATGTTGCTGATCATTGGATTGTCTGGTACAAACTCGATTATTTCAGAGCGCCACCATATAGGTGGAATATTCCTAAGTGCGGCGTAAAACTAAACTCACTCACTCACTCAAATCTCGCTTCAGTATTCTGCAATACGTTTTAGAATAAGCCTATGTATGGCGCCTCCCAACTTGCCCCAGGCGGACTTTAAGGCAAACTTAATACTATTGAGCCTCCAACACGATGTGTATTAGCAACACTGAGGTTACCTTCCTGTTTCAGGGCTCTCGAGAAGCATTTGTAAAACAACTAAGAGTCCAGACTCGATTATTTACAGACCGCCACCAAATAGCTGGAGTGCGGCGTTAATCATCAGCCAACCAACCAGCATACTTACTTCTTTTTATATTTATTTACGATCAACTTCAAAATAAATATCCGTAACATCCACCTAAACGCCATCTATTAATGACTGATATTTGCCCGACTCAGACAATGTCGGAGGGTGAGATGGTAGCGGCTTTCGGTGTAGTGAGAAGTATGATAGTTCAATACAATGGCATGACGAAAGCAGAACTGAAAATAACATAACATTTTCTTTGAGTACGTATTCCTTTTTCAAGCTATATTTAGAAGGATGACAACAAATTTCGAGCAAGCCATTTGCAGACAAACCACTTTCCATATTCATAAGAAATATGTGCCAAACGCAGAGTCGATTGTACAATGTGACTATATCATTAGCAGATATTTGTTTCAGCATTACAGCTGTATGATGCTGTTTGTGAACAAATCGGTTCTGAACCAGAGAATTCAGTGATTGTAGTGGGTGTTACTTTAAGGCGAACTGAATACTAATGAGCCTCAAACACGATGTGTATCAGCAACACTGAGGTTACATTCCTGTTTCAGGGTTCTCGAGAAGCATTTGTAAAACAACAAAGAGGCAGGGGCCATGACAACGTAACGACTGTCGGCCTGCACGTGCGCAGAGGGGATATCATCAACAACAGGCACTTTGTTGAGTACGGATATATGGTAGCTCCCCCGCAGTACTTCTCTACGGCAATGACGTACTACAGAAACAACTACACCACAACATTGTTCCTGGTATGCTCGGACAACATTGCATGGTGTAAAGAAAACATAAACGGAAGTGACGTCATGTTCATGGAAGATAATCCATTCGAAGTAGATCTCGCTGTATTAACCCAATGTAATCATTCCATAATGTCGGTGGGAACATTCGGTTGGTGGGCCTCGTTCCTGGCAGGAGGCGAGACAATCTACCATAAACATCCAGCCAGAGACGGAAGCAAGTTAAGAATGCAGTTTTCAAAGGATTACTCAGACTTCTTCTACCCCGGATGGATTGGTATGGAGTGATGGACCACAATATGCAGGTGTGAAGGTGTGTGTGTTGTGTGAAGGTGTGTGTGTTGTGTGAAGGTGTGTGAAAAGGTGGAGAACTAATGGTCCATAATCAATGTCTGGATGTTTGTACATAATAGCAGATGATTGTGGTGCAGTGTGTGAGGTTGGTAGATGATTGTGGTGCAGTGTGAGGTTGGTAGGTGATTGTGGTGCGGTGTGAGAAGATGGTAGGTGATTGTGGTGCAGTGTGTGATGTTGGTAGGTGATTATGGTGCAGTGTGTGAGGTTGGTATGTGATTGTGGTGCAGTGTGTGAGGTTAGTAGGTGATTGTGGTGCAGTGTGTGAAGTTGGTAGGTGATTGTGGTGCAGTGTGTGAAGTTGGTAGGTGATTGTGGTGCAGTGAGTGAGGTTGGTAGGTGATAGTGGAGCAGATTGTGAGGTTGGTAGGTGATTGTGGTGCCATGTGACAGGTTGATAAATGATTGTGGTGCAGTGTGTGAGGTTGGTAGGTGATAGTGGTGCAGTGTGTGAGGTTGGTAGGTGATTGTGGTGGAATGTGTGAGGTTGGTAGGTGATTGTGGTGCAATGTGTGATGTTGGTAGGTGATTGTGGTACAGTGTGTGTGAGGTTGGTAGGTGATTGTGATGCAATGTGTGAGGTTGGTAGGTGATTCTGGTGTGGTTTGTCAGGTTGGTAGGTGATTCTGGTACAATGTGTTAGGTTGGTAAGAGATTGTGGTGCATTGTGTGAGGTTGGTAGGTGATCGTGGTGCGGTGTGTGAGGTAGGTAGATGATTGTGGTGCAGTGTGTCAGGCTGGTAGGTGATTGTGTGGACGAGATAGCTGGTGATTGTGGTGCAGTGTGTTAGGTTGGTAGATGATTGTGGTGCAGTGTGTCCGGTTGGTAGATGATTGTGTGGACGAGATAGCTGGTGATTGTGGTGCAGTGTGTTAGGTTGGTAGATGATTGTGGTGCAGTGTGTTAGGTTGGTAGATAATTGTGGGGACGAGATTGGTGGTGATCGTGGTGCAGTGTATTAGGTTGGTAGATGATTGTGGGGACGAGATTGTCGGTGATTGTGGTGCAGTGTGTTAGGTTGGTAGATGATTGTGGTGCAGTGTATTAGGTTGGTAGATGATTATGGGGACGAGGTTGGTGGTGATTGTGGTGCAGTGTGTTAGGTTGGTAGATGATTGTGGGGACGAGATTGTCGGTGATTGTGGTGCAGTGTGTTAGGTTGATAGATGATTGTGGTGCAGTGTGTCCGGTTGGTAGATGATTGTTTGGACGAAATAGCTGGTGATTGTGGTGCAGTGTGTTATGTTTGTAGATGATTGTGGGGACGAGATTGGTGGTGATTGTGGTGCAGTATGTTAGGTTGGTAGATGATTGTGTCACAGTGTGTCCGGTTGGTAGATGATTGTGTGGACGAGATAGCTGGTGATTGTGGTGCAGTGTGTTAGGTTGGTAGATGATTGTGGTGCAGTGTGCCCGGTTGGTAGGTGATTGTGTGGACGAGATAGCTTGTGATTGTGGTGCAGTGTGTTAGGTTGGTAGGTGATTGTGGGGACGAGATTGGTGGTGATTGTGGTGCAGTGAGTGAGGTTGGTAGGTTGTCAAGTTTGAACTCAGTCCTCCTATTTGATTGTTAATTAGAGTTAATTAAAGTTAGTGCTTTAAAACCCATATCAGTGCGACATTTCGCTTGTGGTTCAGTATACATTGGAACCCTAGAACCGGATCTGTTCACAGTAATATGGTTCCTGTGGTGGAAGACACGTTCGCTTAGTTTTCTACGCCTGTTAACCTTGGCGTTATGGACCGTTCATAATTTATGGCTATGGGGGTGATTATGATTTTAGGGGGATCACCCAGTTTTGTTCTGGGGAGGCAGGGGGGGGGACATTCACATTGAACATGCTTCTCCATAAAACTCATCTCTCACACACACTCACACACTCTCTCACTCTCTCTGTCTCTGTCTCTGTCTCACTCACTCACACACACACACACACACACACACACACACACACACACACACACACACACACACACACACACACCACCCACCCAGCCAAATGAGCCATTCCACTGAGATTTCTGGCTCATCGGTCACTCATCGGAAGCAAAGTTGTTTTCCTTCCGGTAACCCACCGAAGAGTATCATAGCACAGTCCGATGAACCCGATTTGTGTTTGTCGACTAGCAGGTCCATGTTCGACGAGTCGGGCGTGATGCGATGAGGCTAAATCGTCCGATGAACTAAGCTCAGAGCTTACTTCGCCATCGGACGATTTGGACAGTAGTTGTAAATGTTTTCACTATAAGCAATTCAAATCTTTGAGCTACTTGATAAATATTGATATCCAATTCAATATTTAAAAATTACATATGCCCGATTTCGGTGTTGTAATTTTAAAGTAGCAGTTGAAACTGGTAGATACATTAATGTTGTACATAATGAAAGGCATTGCCTGTTTTGTAAATTAAATGGTATCTTCGTTGCTGAAGTTGAATGGCATGTGTTTTATATCTGTGATGCATTTTCTCATATCAGAAATAAGTACATATCAAAATATTTTAGTAAATGTCAATCAATTATTAATTTGATATCTATATTACAGAGTAAAAATGTTAATATCATCAAGGATGTATGTCTATTTTTATACTTTGTTGACAAGAAACACAAATCTAAATGAAATAATATGTGCTCTAATTATCCATCAATTTATGTATATGAATTTTGGGCCGGAGGCCTGTTACTGAAATAAAATTTTGTTCTGTTCTGTTCTGTTCTGTTCTGTTCTGTTCTGTTCTGTTCTGTTCTGTTCTGTTCTGTTAAATCGTCCGATGAAGGAACTAATCTCAGAGCTTAGGACGCTGTTTCCGGTCGTAAATCGAGTCGGTGTTGGATGAAAGTCCAGTCAGTCCGATGTGTGTCGTGTTGTGCAACTATCGGACGTGTCTAACCGACGTCTTACGGCAATCTGATAAGTGTCCGGTGATTAACAGTCATCTGACGCTCATCTGATTGCAGTCTGCGATGTGCCCGACGCGCCTGATAGTTGCCCATCACTAATTCGATTCTCCTCGGAGAGTAACATGATATTAAGCACCGCCCGATTGCTCTCCGTTGTGACATCGGAGGTAATCGCTCATTAACTCAACTGCCATCCGACACATATAGCATAGCAAGCGGTGACATCTGACGGCCAACGGACTACAAAAGGAGGGTCAGCCGACACTCACTTCGCAGAGTTTCATGGGACACTACAGCACCAAGATCCCACTCTGGTGGGACACTAGATCACTTCATCAGCATACCCATCCACAAACTTCGTGGATATACTTGCAAATGGTTTCTCGAACAACCCTGAAGCTGTAAGCTATATGACAGTGATGGATACCGATCGCCAGCTGTAAGGTGCCTTAGGGTGCAGGCTAACTTGAGACCAGGTTCAAGGGCTCTCCTGGCATTGATATCACGCTTCATGAGTCTTGGTGCGAGTCTCTGGAGTAGTTCATCAGATTCTCAAGAAGAATGTCGTTGTATCCTCCCCTTTTATGCCAGAGAAATAGATGCTTGACAATTCTACACAAAGGGCAGATCATTCTGGAATAAGCTCCTTGTAGTGCGTTACGGGTATTTCTATCTGAGTCTAGTACAAGTCTCAATATATCAAATATGACGTGTGATGTCATTGGATTGTCTATGGATAACTGATATCCACGTCATGGGCTTATACAGAAACCTTGAATCCAAGGGTGTGTGCATGTGACGTCAGAGCAAAACGTCACAATTAGAAATTGTATTCTAAAATTAACTAAGCTTACAAATACAAATTACTACAAAGTTATTACAATCGCAGTACAAACCCAAAGTCAGTATGATACAACAACAGTGATTATAACAACATAGACAGAGATGCTTAATCCGCTTCCTGCAACAATGGTGAAGTTTGAAAAAATAGGCCTAAGCTAAGTATCTAGGGTAAGAAGGCCTCCATACAATAGCTGGTCTACTTTTTACTTGATATGTAATGTAAGATGAGATGCAAGAGTTAACTCCTTCTATATAACTATGAACAACATCCAGAAGATTCTCCAAATCACTGGGTCAGAATATAGTAGAAAGGCGCAAGGTGAGGTGAGGTGAAATTGGATTTAACGTCGTGCTTGAGAATATTTCGCTCATATGACGACGTGCATGCGTGTGTGTGTGTATGTGCGGCTGCTTGTACTAGCCCAGACTTAAACTGGTTTTATAGTGCTAGCCCACTGAGATACCATGCCGCAGTGAAGCATGAATACCCCACTCAGACACATTATACTGACTCCAAGCCGACCAGTCATTGTTGTACCCATTAATGCCGAGCTCCAGGAAGGGACCAACAAGTACCATATTTTAACGTCTTTTGGTATGACGCGGTCGGGGATCGAACCTGCGACCTTCCGCTCTCTCCGGGCGGACGCTCTTACCACTACACCACGGAGGAGGTAGAAAGGCACAAAGGTTGAAGTAACTTTTAGTACCTTCCCGAGATCTAAACATAGTAAACGTCTAAATATACACCAGTACCCTCTACTAAACGTCAGCAGGTACAATACATTACACTTGGAACATTATTTCACAACGAATAACACAGTGAAAATAATTTGTCAATAACATCAAGTCTATTGAACCGTTTCTGAATACATGATGTTCATGTATCTCTGTATCACGTTCTCTATTGATGACTTCAAAACCACTCTGGTGCTTTAAATGCCAGAACTTTGGACAAACTCGCAGGAATACAACTGTATGCTCCCGTTGCAGTGGTGACCATGAGTGCACAAATGTTATCAAGTGTGCTAACTGCAATGGAGAGCATTTGACCTCATCTAAAAATGCCCATGGTTTGAAAGAAAATCCCAGATTCTTGAAATCAAATATACCCAAAATATTTCGACAGAGAAGACAGAGGAATTGTCACCACTCATAATTGACGTCCCATCTGAGACAGAATTTCCAAAGGATAAGGATGAATCCAAAAGTGACAATAAGACAGTAAAAAGGACCAGGGCCCTCCAGCACGTGGAGGTGCCTTCTTTTGATTCAACCCCCGTAAAGGATTAAAGTCAGTATTAACCTTTGGAAATGGGAGTTAGTCCTTCACTCCAAATCCATGGGAGTCGATCCCACTCCCGATCAAGAACTCCGTTTGAGCCTCCATCAGCTCAAATGCCATTATTTAGTGGAATTGTAGTCCCCTTTGAACAGAACACAGACAAGTCTAAAATTTTCTATAATATATTGAACTAACCATAAGCAAGCTACAATGATTAGCAATAAGGATCTCTAGTACAATGCAGTTGAGTCACAAATCTAAATTATTGGGTCACAAATATAAAATATCAACTCACCAGACATTCACGGTGAGAACAAATATACTGATTGGAGGTTGTCATGTGAAAAGTCCCCTTGCACAACTCAACAACCAGCCCTTATACAGCTCTTACACAGTTCTCGAGCATTCTAGCAAAGCTAGGCTCCCTCATTATTCTCTCAGAACGATGCAAGATTTTCTCGAACATACGACCGGAAGTCAAAACAAAATAATAGCGAGCCGAGGGAGGCAACTCTGAAGTGCTATAAAAAAGGCGTACCGCTAAAAATGTTATTACCTTTAAACATGATGCGAGATGCGAGCCAAAACCTACACTCAAAACTTTAAACATTGTGACCCATAATAATTATAACCTAATCAATGATGATACAAATTACAAAAAACACTGTCATAACAATATTTACATCCTGGTACGGGCACATACTCTTCTCTCGATTTATCCATGACAGACTCTCCTGAATGAGTTTGACTGGTCAGTCCATGACGACCTGTGTGGAAGTGACCATTTTCCAACCATTCGCAAAGCTATAACTCAGTCTGATGACCCTCCTTCATCAAGATGAACTTCTCTGAAGCCAACTGGCCGTTGTTTGAAATACTGTCATCAAACAAATTAAAACCTGAACTGGTCAGTGGCTCAATCCTCGAAGGGTGTTAAAGCAGTGTCCAAATATTGCCCCACTGTGGGGATATAGGTAGGCGTACATGATTCCAAGTATTTTGTTCCTACCACGTTTAGGTCGTGGTATATTTGTCAATTGTAAATGCTGGCTAAAATAACATTCAAATGTCAGCTTCTGAACGGATGATGTAAATCCGACTGGGGAACTGTGCAGGAAGCAGAAAAGGTCCTCGTGGTCTCCTGCATGGTGGTCTTACGTTGGTTGCTGGCGGTGTATAACCCTAATTTTTATATTGTGTTGTGGGAATGATAAGTCATATGGCCTCAAACAAGTTTTACATTTACTCTGTTATATGCTTTCACACCGAATATATTTTAAAACTTATTTGACGCCCAAATCCAACCAATTCTGTTATATGGGTCAGAAGTATGGGGATTCCAACGTTACAATAATTGTCTCGAAAAGCTACATCTCCAAGTATGAACCAAATTCCTAAGCGTTGCCCCAACAACACCCATTTGCATGGTATATGTCGAATGTGGCCGATACCCTTTATACATCAGCTCCCAAGTTAGAGGCTTGAAATACTGGTTAAATATTCTTGGAATGCATCAACGCCAAATCCCCAAACTTGCGTTTAATATGTTTCTACATTTAGATGTGGGGCGGTGGGGTAGCCTAGTGGTGAAAGCGTTGGCTCGTCACGCCGAAGACCCTGGTTCGATTCCCCACACGGGTTCAATGTATGAAGCCCATTTCTGGTGTCCCGCGCCGTGATATTGCTGGAATATTGCTAAAAGCGGCGTAAAACCAAAACTCACTCACTCACTCACTACATTTAGATGT